GATTTATAACCAAACAATTTACGAAAAACATATGACATACATGAACCAACAACAACCAGTGAACTACAGGCTCCTGACTTGGGACAGGCACATATAGAACGGGTTATACTAGTTTGTTGGCGCCTAACCATCCCCCTGGGACAGTGGTGTAACAATACAAACTAAAAAGCAGTTGAAAAGGGCTTAACTCATCAGATCGATACACACCATGCAGAAAACATTTAACGAAAAAAACAAACCGGGCGTGGAAGCGTATCTATACATCCTACAACAAAAAAGACACTGGGTGAAGATCTGAAAGTACTCGCAGATACTGACGGCTAGTTCAAAGCCAATAACAACTAATATAATAAAATTAAATGTATCAATCAGTACAAATCCATCATCCAATGGATTTAGTGTAAAGACGTCAATAACAGTCAGAGAAATTCATGACCTTGTGCAATGCCAAAATATAGGTATCGAGAGATAGTTTTCGGCTGGTATGAACACAAAACGCTTTTAGAGTACTTACATTTTGTCTTTAGTTCTAGAAATGGGTGTATAACTAACTTTTTTTTATTTCTAAATTATTTTCAAAATGTTATATGCGGATATCAACAATATTCAGACATTCTGATAATGAAATAGGAATCAAGTGATTTTTTGTCAGATGTTTTTTACATCAATTTTTACAATACATGCAGGATGAAAGAGCATCTCTAATGACCTGATGACACACTTTCCCGTTTATTTTCGACGGTGGATAGTGGTCATTTTTTTTCTCAGAAATTAAACGTGAAAATATTTTGAACGGTATATGTTAATTCGAGGGAACAGTCTGTGGTGACAGAAAGCTGTAATGATACGTTTACACTCACATTTTGGACTGAAAAACGATGTTGTATCACAGTAGATTAAGTGGAGAAGATTTTTGTAAAAGATTACAAAAATTTACGAAAAATTGACTATAAAGGGCAATAACTCCTTAAGGGGTCAATTGACAATTTTGATCATATTGACTTATTTGTAGATCGTACTTTGTTAAACATTATTGTTGTTTACAGTTTATCTCTATCTATAATAATATTTAAGATAATAACCAAAAACTGCAAAATTGCCTTAAAATTACCAATTCAGGGGCTACAACCCAACAACGGGTTGTCTGATTCGTCTGAAAATTTCAGGGCGGATAGATCTCAACCCGATAAACATTTTTTACTCCATGTCTGATTTGCTCTATATGCTTTAGTTTCAGAGATATAAGCCAAAAACTGCATTTTACCCCTGTGTTCGAATTTTAGCCATGTCGGACATGTTGGTTGGCAGGCGGGGTCATCGGACATATTTTTTAAACTAGATACCCTAATAATGATTGTGGTCAAGTTTGGTTAAATTTGGCCCAGTAGTTTCAGAGGAGAAGATTTTCGTAAAAGTTAACGGACGACGACGACATGATGTGATGAGAAAAGCTCACTTGGCCCATTGGGCCAGGTGAGCTAAAAATTAAATGCATGAATAGATTCATTATATATAAAATAACCTTGAATTAGATTTTTGTTAATTTAAGTTTAGTTTTGAACCATTTGGACCTTAATGTGGACAAATTTGAAACCAGGCCCAAAATCAAAAATCTGAATTACACAGTTCGATTCAGTATATCAAAGAATCCCAAGATTTTAATTTTCGCTGAAATCAAACTAAGTTGAATTTTTGAACCTTTGAACCTCAGTGTGGACCAATTTAAAAACGGGGCCCAAAATCCAAAATCTAAAAACACGGTAATATTCAGCATATCAAAGAACCCCGACAATTCAAGACTTTGAATTAAACCCTATTGAATTCGGTCAAGAAATAAACAATTTATACAAAGTATTAGAAAAGTATTGTTTTTTTGCTCCTTTTTTGGTTCTTAATTTTAAAACAATTCGTTTCTCGTTTTTTATATAGATTAGACCGTTGGTTTTCTCGTTTAAATGGTTTTACACTAGTAATTTTTGGGGCCCTTTATAGCTTGCTGTTCGGTGTGAGCCAAGGCTCCGTGTTGAAGACCGTACTTTGACCTATAATGGTTTACTTTTATAAATTTTGACTTGGATGGACAGTTGTCTCGTTGGCACTCACACCACATCTTCTTATATCTAATAACCCCCAAAGCCAATCCCAACCTTCCTTTCGAGGTATGCAATCCATACACTTATACACAAGTAATTGTCCTGAGACAAGAAACATTCTTCTTTTTGGTTTCTTTTTAGCCGCTATTTCCTAAACAGTAGGGATAATAACCCCCAAATTCAATCCCAATCTTCCTTTTGTGTTATGGAACATGTTGATACAATTTCATAGAGATCCATACACTTATAATGAATTAATTGTCTGGTAACCAAATGTCTTTGGACGATGGCGATGACGACGAGACTGACAATGTAATATTAACATCATACAACCATTCATTCACCGGAACATAAACAAATCATTTTTCAAGTTTCTATTCAAAGGCTATCAATAATATGAATAAAAACTTATTTGGAGAGGGGGCCAAAAATGCCCCTTATCGTACCTTGTCCTTTATACAGATGGTTGATGTAAGGAATAAATTTTGAAGTTTACAGGTCAAAAGTTATTGTAAGTTCAAATAATGAAGGATGGCAGAGGTTCATTTCATTGTTCAAAAATATGTTATTTCTTATTTTTCACGTGTATTTTGGCATTTAGGTCCTCCGTAACCCCTCTAATGGACATTGCGGCACATATTGATTATAACCATTTTGTTCCTCTATCGATGAGCTTTCGAATGGTGTATAAGGTTTTTCTGTAATTAGAGGCTGAAGGGTCGCAGCAGTTCATTCCATTATTCAAAATAAGCCATTTCTTAATGTACACGCGTATTTCGACATTAAGGTCCTTCGTAACTCCTCTAATATGCGTTGCAGGACATATTGACTATATAACTTTTGTTCCTCTATTCATAAGCTTTCTAATGACGTATAAGGTATGGCTGAAGGGTCGCAGCAGTCCATTCCATTATTCAAAATATCCATTCCATTATTCAAAATTGGCTATGTCTTAATGTTCACGCGTATTTTGGCATTAAGGTCCTCCGTAACCACTCTAATGGACATTGCGGCACATATTGATTATAACCATTTTGTTCCTCTATCGATAAGGTTTTGAATGGTGTATAAGGTTTCTCTGTAATTAGGGGCTGAAGGGTCGCAGCAGTCCATTCCATTATTCAAAATTGGCTATTTCTTAATGTACACGCGTATTTCGACATTATTGTCCTCTATAACTCCTCTAATATGAATTGCGAAACATATTGACTATATACCTTTTGTTCCTCTATTGATAAGCTTTTGAATGACGTATAAGGTTTATCTGTAATTAGAGGCTGATGGGTCGCAGCAGTCCATTTCATTATTCAAAGTATCCATTCCATTATTCAAAATTGGCTATTTCTTAATGTTCACGCGTATTTTGGCATTTAGGTCCTCTATAACTCCTCTAATATGCGTTGCGGAACATATTGACTATATACCTTTTGTTCCTCTATTGATAAGCTTTCGAATGGTGTATAATGTTTCTCTGCAATTAGGGCTGAAGGGTCGCAGCAGTCCATTCCATTATTCAAAATAAGCTATTTCTTAATGTACACGCGTATTTCGACATTAAGGTCCTCCGTAACTCCCCTAATATGCGTGGCGGAACATATTGACTATATACCTTTTGTTCCTTTATTGATAAGCTTTCGAATGACGTGTAAGGTATATCTGTAATCAGAGGCTGAAGGGTCGCAGCAGTCCATTCCATTATTCAAAATTGGCTATTTCTTAATGTTCACGCGTATTTTGGCATTTAGGTCCTCCGTAACCCCTCTAATGGGCATTGCGACACATATTGATTATAACCATTTTGTTTTTCTATTGATAAGCTTTCGAATGGTGTATAAGGTTTCTCTGCAATTAGGGCTGAAGGGTCGCAGCAGTCTATTCCATTATTCAAAATAAGCTATTTCTTAATGTACACGCGTATTTCGACATTAAGGTTCTCTTTATCTCCTCTAATATGTGTTGAGGAACATGTTGACTATATACCTTTTGTTCCTCTATTGATAAGCTTTTGAATGACGTATAAGGTTTATCTGTAATTAGAGGCTGAAGGGTCGCAGTAGTCCATTACATTATTCAAAATATCCATTACATTATTCAAAATTGGCTATTTCTTAATGTTCACGCGTATTTTGGCATTTAGGTCCTCCGTTACCCCTCTAATGGGCATTGCGGCGCAATTGAAAAGTTATATCTATAATCAGGGATGAACAGCAAAGGTCCAGTGAAAATTAAAAAAAAATCCAATGTATAATATTTTAATTTTTATGTATGTTTTGGTATTCAGGTCGTCCATACATTAAAACCAGGAATTTCTGTTAAAAATAGTTGGGGAAACCCACTAGTTTATCCTCCGAAACTAAATAAATAAATAAAGATAAAAATTTCGAAGAGTGTTCTGATTTTCTTTTCTTATATTAATTTGAATATTTGTTAAATAACATTAAAATGAATTCAGAAATACTGAATATAGTGTCACAGTCAAAAAATAATTTTTATATTTCATTATTCACTTTTCAAATTGAATAGTGAAATATGAACAATTTTATTATTCATTATTCATTATTGAATTTTGAATAATGAAAAATGAATAATGGACGTACTTCAGCGCGGTCACCATGATAACAATTTCAATTTCAATTTTGAGAAAACAAATCTTTTTCGCTAATTTCTAACTTTAGCGTCAACTGATCCATTTACTACAAGTTTCAATGATTTGAAAACATCTTTACAAAAAGCTCTCTAGGACAAGGTTCACAAATATTTAAATATTTCTTAAACTGACAATTTTGCCAATACTGTCATTACATGTATTTAGTGATTGACCAGTATGTTATGGCAAAAGGCTTCAAAGGATATGTTTTACTGTGTTTAATCTTGAATGAAGCAAGAAACACTAATAATTTGCAGAAATAATATTTAAAATACAATTTATTTTCGACAAAACCAGCTACATGATTTAGTGATCGTCTTGCACAATGATAAACCGGAAACAAAGCAATATCTCTACCGTAGGATCCTGAGTGGTTATGTGTGATTGTTCGGTGAGCAGGTTATATTTTTATTTACTTGCTGGCACTTTGAACTATTCATTGGCTCGCATATACCTGTAATATAAATTTATTGGAATTTCAATCAATATATTTAATAAACGAATATATTGTTTAATAGAACGAAATCACAATTGACATGTAATGCATACAACATACGTGTGAAAACGAATGACGACGCCCGAACAAGTACAATGCAAAATGCATGTTCAATCAGATCGCTACTATTTTGTCCAAGTTGTATGAAAATACATGTTGTTATATAACATGCAGACTTTTATGATGTGTCAATCAGTTTCTTTAAGTGCGTTGAACCTTAAAATACATGAAGACTAATTTCACAAGTCCTACAATCTGTTTTAAGATGCAAAGTATCTTAGATTCAATTTGTTTTTTTACTGTTAAATAACATTTAATTTAGCATTTGACCAAATTACAAATGCCTTATTTTGGTCATTGCACTAGATCATAGCTCACCGCACGATGTGTTTGTGAAAATTCTACTAAAAAAATACTCTGATATTTAAATCTAAGAAGACATGATTTCTACATCCATCTTTTTAAGTGCTTTGAGCTATGAAAAAATGCGAGAATTCATAGATAGAGAACTTAGTATCAATATTACGTGTACTTGTGTCTTTATCTTCTTTGGTACATATATTATATAATTTTAAGTGCGTTTTCTGAGCTGGTTTTTATTGTTCTTTCTCCCATGTTCCTTTTGTTGCCCCACTGATCGAGGGTAACGGTGTAGAATAAACCGAATGCGATAAACATCTTCAGAAAATATTCGTTGGCTTCTGCGCATGGCCAATACTTTCTAACTAAATTAAGTCTAGATTTAGGTTTATTCCATATTGGTATTGTATTTTAGTATGTTTTCTATGCGAATTGGAGTTTGAATAAAACAGCATATTCACCTGAAGAAAAGTGATATTCACACGCTAGACGTCACGTACTTTTATATGTACAATTATGGTAAAATCTTTGATATATAATAATTGGTTGTGTTTAATAATTGTCTTTGCATATTGTATTTTTCTCTCCTTCTGAATAGGAAATAAAACAATTAATGTCTTTTGTGATTATCAGTTTTACAAAAGCCAATAACCCACATTTTTACCTCACCTCATCAAAAGTCAGTAATTGAATATTACTCCATAAAAATGTAGAATTTCTTCAACATAGTATTAAACGTGATATTTGAATGTGATACATTGTACTAATAATTGGTCAATTTGAATTTTGAATGCCTACGGTTTCAATTAGATCATATATTTATTAGTAAAACTGAAATACGAACGCCAATCTTCTCATCGTGAAAGTAAACCTTACGTATTATTCTTGTTATTATTTCCATTATTTGCTCCTATTTCGAAATGTACTTACCCGGATGTCCTGTGGCAGTTCCTTCGGGAGTTCCTCCAGGTGTCCATTTACAATCTGCATCACCAAGCTCGAATCCATTGGATTTCCCATCCTGGTCAGAATCTTTCTGGCAGAATTCGGGAGTCCATACTTTACCGGAAGAATTAAAATCCTGTAAAATATGTATTTTTTTTTTTTGTCAAATATTTAAAAAGAAATAAAATTGAACAAAATCTATGATTTATGACTCAATTTCATAAGCAGATCTAATGTAACATTAGATTTGTGCTTGTTATCTTATATAACAAAGAGAACGAATTTCTTCGAATAACCGTTTTCACTGTTTTTTCTCAAAATTACAAATACATGTCAACCGGAAGGAAGACAAATTGACTAACAGTAAGGTTATAAATTTAAATCGAACCAGTCCAAATTGGTTGTTAGGTCCGCCTCCTGGTGCTACATTATGTCCGACACCGCCCCATATTCCAGACTGACCATTGCAGGGATTTGGAACTGCATCTCCATTTGGTATTAGCATTTGAAACTTTTGATAACTCCATACGATAGTAAATAACATCAACAAGGATATTTTTCTCAACATTTTGAAGTGTACAAACTTATTCAAAGCCTCTGATATATATACAAAGAACCAGCGCAATGAAAACTTTATATCGAGTATGACACACGGTCTATATGACGGAGTCTATAAAAGTAGATTATTATTAGATCGTTTGACCTTTAGCTTTATTTCAATAACCTTAGTTCTGACTTATCACTGAGTGACACAGTTTGACACGAGAAGATGTCCTGATCTTTCATAAGCTTATACAAGCACTTCATTGTATAATATATATGAACATATATTCTGATAAAGCACTCGGGAACTAGTACTTTCTTATCAAGACATTCGAATATATGAAAGTCGTGAAACACAGATTATGTGAAACTGTTTTTCTCGGTTACTTTTATATGTATACGTTAATGAAACTGTAACCCAACAGAATCAAATACATTAAAGTTTACATAAATATTCACGCTTAGATATATGGTCCCCATACTAACAAAGGAAGGACGCTGACGCCATATACCAAATTTTTAATCGGTTAACGCTATAGATATTAAGCTGTTATATCTTATTTTGATAAATGCAACTAACACGACCATATATTGAATAGAAACACAAAAGTCACAATAACAATTTACATGTAAAGACATCGACAACCAATGAAATTTGTGACTTTGAACAGGCACAAACGAATACATGCGGAGGAGTCTAACTGGCTTCGTGATTACTGACCTCTCGCCAATTATCTTGATAAGTCAAAATTAAGGTCAAACACTAAGCAAAATATAGGTCAAAAGGCAACTATTGTATTTCAGTTTGGTATATGTCTCGCCTTGACGAAGTCTCGGAGGCGAGACTTAAGTGTGCTTTGTCGGCGTTGGCATCCGCATCGACGATTTGTTATGGTTAAGTATTAGTTCTGTTTAAAGGATTAAGTCAATGATTTGTTGGTATGCAGTTGTTTTAACATTGTAACATTGACACATCTTTTCAAAGATCACAAATAAAAGCTTGTGATTAATACAATTTATGGAGAACCACAAACGGCAATTCAATGACGTGTGGTATGCATCGTATAAGACTTAGCACATTGAGAATATTTGGCCCGCCCTTTAAGTAATAATAAAAATAAGCAGATAATAAAAAATATGACAGCGACAACCACTGAACTACAGATAAAGCCATGCACTTAAAGAATGAGGCGGGGTTAAACATGTTTGTGAGCGTGCAACCCTCCCCTAACCTGGGACAGTGGTGTTACAACACAACACAAGAACACTGTAAAAATCAGTAGCAACTTGCTTAACTCAAAAAATCGGCACGAGGCACAAAAAACAACTAAGATGAAATCAATAGACACAAAACACCGATATAAGAGTACTCGCAGTTACTGAAAGCTAGATAAAAGCTCAGCCAATCACAAGTAAATAATATAAATAAGAAGATGTGGTATGAGTGCCAATGCCATCCAAGTCGCAATGTGTAAACAGTAAACCATTATAGGTCAAAGTACGACATTCAACACGGAGCCTTTGGTCGCACCGAACAGCAAGCTATAAAGGGCCCCCAAAGGACTAGTGTAAAACCATTCAAACAGGAAATCCAACGGTCTAATCTATATAAAAACGAGAAACAAGAAACACTTATGAACCACACCAACAAACGACAACCACTGAACAACAGTCTCCTGACTTAGGACAGGTGCAAACAAATGCAGCGGGTTTAAACGTTTTAACAGGAGCCAACCTTCACCCTAACATGAAACAGTGGTATAACATTACAACATAAAAAGACACGCAATAAAATATCAATTGAAATGGCTTAACTCGATCAAAAAGACAATACACAAAAACAAGTAAATATACACTGAACGAATAAGTTTGGTCTATGGCACAATATAAAAGATGTTTCAATATCAAAACGACAACTTTAACCTAGGACAAATGTAGCCTTTTATTCAAAATAAGTATGACATTATCGTTAATTTAGTCCGAAATGATGTACCTTCACTCAAGATATAACAATGAGATATAACAAATGCCTTACTTTGTGAAATAATAATACAATGACTAATTGCTAAATGATTACTTAATGTCCAACAGCTGCAACTAAATTGATCGCATATTTAGAAAGAAACATGCTTATGTAATATAAATTTTGAACTATACATTTATAATAAGTCAGATTTTCAAAGTGCCACCTAACAAGGTACAATCACAATACTCCTTAATTCTCTTTATTTGTCTTGTTATCATTCTAATACAGATTTAAATCTCCTAACGTCCCAGTTTATAAGAACTTTACTATATAATATGAAATAAGGACATGTGTTCTTATAAGGCATTGTAAAAGTTGTACGAACAGAAATGACAATCGTTTAAAGTTTCAAATGAGACGACTTTATCATTTAAAATTTAATTCAAATATAAAATTCAAATTCAAATTAAGTAATACAGTTCTATTTAGATATAAAAATCAAACTAGATATAGCTTAGTTTTACATTTTGTAGCGTTTAGTTACAAGTGTCGTAAGTTTTCATGTGATATACAAATTACAGCCGGTACTACACATTTGAATAGTTCCACTGCAACTTACATTGAAGGGGGTTTCTGTCCGTAAACAAATGTTAAATAAGCCAGACCATGTTGATTGGTCGGTTGGGTTAAAAACGCAAATCTATCAACAAATACCATATGGATCACATTATTGAGGTAAAGTTTGGATGAAATGGGTCTAGTGATTTCAGAGAAGAAGAACGACGAGGAGGATGCTGACAACGACGGCGTACGCCATGTGAGGACATATAAGTATACATAGAAATAAGGAGATACGGTATGATTGATAATGAGACAATTATCCACCAGGGACTGACCGTTCCATATGTAAGCAGACAATCGTAGATTGGTACAGTAATTGCCTAGAATTGTGCATCAAAATTTAGGAAATAAAAGTAAAAAAATAGAGGTATTGGTTTGATTATTGAAATAGACGAAAATAAATTTGGACATAGAAAATACTACAAAAGACGTCAGTTAGAAGATCAGTGGGTGTTTGGCGGAATTGAAAGGGACAGCAAGATAAGTTGTTTTTGCCACAGTAGAAAATAAAAGTAAAGAAACACTACTAAAATATTTTAAAGACAATATAAAACCTGGAAACCTTAATCTGTGACTGTTGGAAAGCAAACAATTGTTTGGATTCAGAACGATTTGAGCATTTACAGGTTAACTATCCAGTAAATTTCGTTGATACAGATACACGAGCATATTCGAACACCGTTGAAAGCACCTTGAGTCCAATTAAAAAGCCATTGCCTAAATACGGAACAGTCAAATCTTTATATGATGCCTACTGCAGTCAGTACGTACGGCGTACAGACAAAATATTGTATCGGCTCTTACGATCCATTTCCTGCCTTTATAATCGTAATTATAAAGTTTATAATTTTAAAAGAGGAACATAAACAGAAATTAATTTCGTCAGAAGTTTTCATCAAATCCCGTCCTTCTTCTATTAAAAAAACCAAGATTACAACAGGAAATTACTAAAATTGTAAATTCTAGTATGGATGAATTTAGAGATTGATTTTAAATATTTGCTCGGGTTTTGAAGAGGTGCAAAAAATGGCCGTTGTTTACATTGAATTTCATGCATAGGAACGTAGTTTGAGGTAATCGGTCTTCCGCTTAATTATTGCACTTTACCACTACCGGGTTCCACCAAGGTAGATTCTACCCGAGTAAATAACTACATGGACAAACATGCTAACACAGAATTATTTCTTTCCTAATAAAATTGAACAAATATAGCTTCAACACAATGTTTACATGCATCGACAATAGTACTGAGAAAAGATGTATTTCGAGCATTGTCCTCTGGTGATATTACCCATGAAATATCAGTATCTCTGTTACGATTCTGAATTTTCTTCTCCACGAGACTTTATTGTAGAGTTGTTGTACATGTTTTTTTTCTCTCATTTTTTATCATCAATAGATTTACGGATATGTATTCTCTTTTGAAATATCAGAGTTAAAAATGATTTCCTCTTCTTCCTTTATATGCATACAATAATTGCAACCAGATGTTAAGCAAGCACTTTTCAAATCCTTTTGACTTTGACTTTTTTAACTTATGTAACAAATTAAAATCAAAATTGTTGAATTCAGTGGAAATCAAAACGTGCGCACAGCACGTATTTTGGAATAATTTTCATCAGGTATGCACGAGCCTGAAAGTTTTGAAAGCCGAAAATTTACAGGGATTGACAGCATCAAATTAATCCTAATCAGAACAACAAATGTTTTTCCAGGGTGTTGCAGTCTTAGTGTGAGCTCAATTACAAATACGTTGCTAACCTTCAACATCATATACACATGCATTTAGAATAATCATTTTCAATACTTGAATGGCATAACTCATCAATAAAGACAATCACCACTGTTATTTTCTTATCAGCTGTCTATGACATCTTTTGTTTTTTTTTATTACAAATTAAACACAAAATGAATGTCCAATTTAACAGCCATCACATTCAAACGCAATCTGCAATATACAACTGTATTCTGTAAAACGTAGAATCTATAATTTATGCATATTGATGCAAGATTAAAGACGACCGGCATTCCTACGCAAACCAACTGTGCTCCAAAACACAAGTTACCGACTAAGCACATTATTGAATTGTAATTTTTTTAAATGATGTCCGATATTCATGTTAGAGACCTAACATGCACAAGACCCCTATTGCCTCCTTCCAAAAAAAAATCACTAATTCATCTGTTAATGCCTGTCTAATACCGTTTTGTTTTTGTATTTTATTTGTATCAATGTAAAGATTAAGCATTTATTTTGTCGACTGTTTAAATTTATAAACCTTTGTTTCAGACTATTGTTTTTTATTTAAACATTAATAAATTATATGTTGCAGTTTGTAAGCTAAAGCCAAAACGCGGACCATATAAAGCATATTTTCGGAGATACTACTACAATTGGAAAAGGGCAAAATGTGTACAATTTATATACGGTGGTTGTCGAGGAAATGGTAACAATTTCAACAGTATTGCAAAATGCAGGGCTAAGTGTCCGTGACATACGTGTATGTATCGTATGATACGGTTTTGAATGAACCATATGGTAGTATTTAGTGTTTGTTGAAAAATTACCTGATAAGGACATGAGCACTGGAAGTTTAACGGGTTAATGGA